TGATCGGACCGTCAAGTTGTTTGTTGTTGATGAAATCCATGTAACGGAATCTGTACCTGTAGAAAAGAGATCAGGGGTAAAATTATTCAGAAACTCAAACAACCTCTCCCTTTCCCTCTCAGCCATGCCTCTCAAGTTGAACTTGAGAGGTAAAACTTAGCTTAAACTCTCATTGTTCCTTTCAATGCACTCTAAGATCCTCGCATGTGGGAATTCAGCAGCAACTACAACTCTCGGATAAGTCTCTATCAGTGTCTTGTGATCGAACTAGTAGTCATGCCAGAAGGAAGTTTCATCCCCTTTGCCCAATCTGATTTTGGCAAACTTCCAGAATTCATTCCTCATCTTTAGAATCTGTTTCCAGGGACTGCACCCTATCACACCCTGGATTTCTCTGATGTTCCACATTGTTGCCTCGCAAGTAAATTTTGTTCTTATGAGTTTCCTCCACCACGAGCCTTCTTCTTTCGCATACTGCCAATGCCATTTACTTATAAGTGCTTTGTTCTGCAAATTGAGGTCATGTATACCCAATCCTCCCCACTTCTTTGGCGCTTTGCATTGATCCCATGCTACCAGATGCATTTTTTGTGCCCCGCAGTGCCCTTCCCATATGAAAGATCTCTGTATTCTTTCGATCTTTGAGATCACAATTTTAGGTGCTATAAATAGCGAGCACCTATACATTGGCATGCTGGCAAGGCAGGCGTTGCTCAACACAATTCTCCCTCCTAAACACAAGAGCCTACCTTTGCAGCCATCTAACTTCATTTGCAATTTGGTGATGATCGGATTCCAGATTTCTTGTGTTGTCGTGCAAGCTCCAAGAGGGAGGCCAAGAAATACTATCGGTAGGTACTCCCAGCCGCAGCCGAAAATTTCAGCAAGTCTTCCCGGGTCTTCAACTTCACTTACCGAGAAGAGCTTGCTCTTTTCCACATTGATTCTAAGTCGCGTTACACTTTAAAAGCAAACTAGTATGGCCAAAACGTTTGAAACTGCCTCTTCTAATGCCTCACGGAAAATAATTGAGTCATCAGCATATAGTAAATGTGTTATCTCTCCCCTTCTTCTCCATTCATCCATGTAGAAGCCCTTGTTGTATCCCGCTGCATTAGCTTCTTGAATCATGCACAATAGAACGTCCATAGTAAGATTGAATAAAAACGGCAACATAGGATCGCCTTGCTTCAGACCCTTTTTTGTTTTGAAGAACCGTGTCGCTTCACCTTTTACTAGAACAGACAACATGTTCCCTGATACCAACCCATTTATCCATCTTGGAAAATTAGTGTTGAAACCCGTAGACTTTACCATTCGGGAGAGGCAATCCAAGCTTACCGTGTCAAATTCCTTTTAAATGTCGAGTTTCAATACCACCCCCATTCTGCCACTACTTCTTCTACTGTCTATCAGCTCGTTTGCAATCAGACTTGCTTTATGTGCTTGTCTATTCTTGACCCTAGCAAATTGGTATCTTGATATGATTATGTCAATGTATGGTTTCAGTCGAGCCACTAATGCTTTTGAGATCACCTTATTGAAACTTCCAATTAGACTAATCGGCCTGAAGTCTCCTACCTCTTCAGCTGCTTCTTTCTTTGGAACTAAGCATAGGAAAGCATGAGTTACAGAATTAGGTAGCCAACCTGTGAGATGAAATTCATCAATTGCCTTCATGAGATCTTTCTTGATTATATTCCAGCCTTTTTTGTTAAATTCCATTGTATATCCATCTGGCCCTGGTGCTTTGTCTCCATCATAAGATGAAATCGCCTTCCATATTTCTTCTTCGGTGAAAGGCTTACTCAGTTCATTATTTTCTTCTAACCCGATTATCCCTGCCCTGTACCCTGTAGGAAAAGGTCGGTCACCTCCCTCCTCTTTACACCTCTCCTTGAAGTAGTTTGTAATAGCAGCTTTCATCTCCTCCTTCCCTTCCACTAGCCTCCCATTAATCTTTATGTTGTAAATTTTGTTTCTGCGCTGATTATGTCTTGCCATCTAATGGAAGTAAGAAGTATTTTGTCTCCTACCTTGAGCCATAGTTCTCATGATTTCTGTCTTCACGCGATCTCCTCCATCAATAAGAGTTTGTCTATCTCACATTTTAGAAGTCTTCGCTCCAGTTGCTGTGTTTCTGAAACTGTCCCCTTTCTTCAGTATTGTCAAACTCTTTTATCCTTTGTAGATGACCTATAATCTTGACCTCTTTCATGAATAATGAAGACCTAGATGTCGATCTTCCTGGTCTTTATACTATAGTAGATTTTACGTATTCGGTTGTTATTGAGTTCGCTATGGACATTCTTTTAAGGTCAAAATAATATATTAGCCACAACTATTAAGTTCCGGGGAATTATAGCCACAAGCCCACAACTATCAAAATACAAATGACTAGCCAAACGTTGACTCTCCGTTAGCAATTCCGTTACTAATGCTGACTAAACTTTACGATGTTGAATTAGTTCCGACGTGGCAGTCACCATATCATATTTGAATTTTAATTTTAAAAAATAATTATTAAATAAAAAAATTAAAAAAAATTAAAAAACTCTTCTTCTTCCTCCGCTCGCTCTCCCTCCCCTGCGCTTCCTCCTTCCGACGAGCTCTAAAGAGCTTCTTCCACCTACAAACCTAGACTTTCATTCCTCCTTTCCACCCAAAATCCCACCTCTCATCTTCACCCCATCCTCCTCTTCTTCCTCTTTTACCCTACGCCACCTTCAACTCTGCTCCACCACTATCCAACGCCAACACTCCCCACCATCGAAGATCTTCAGATCTCCTTCCGATCCAGATGCCCCCATCTCGTCTCTCTCTACATCAAGCCTCCCACTTATCTTCCTCAATCGTTCCCGAGTTCTAGCGACATCACCATCAAAACCGCTGAGTCGAACTCAAATGACCTAGCTTCAAAATTGTCGCGAAATTGACGATCCATCTTCTTCCCTGGAGATAACAAAATCTGACGCCGCCCTCGAATGGGAACCCGGCTTCCCCAGCTGCGACATCTGCTCCCGACCTCAAACGGGTCGGAAAACCCGGGAGCAGGGGCAGCCAGGCCGTAGGCCAGATTGGGGTTTGTGGCTAGGCCATTCTCTGGAGAGCCGCCTCCTGATTTACATAGCCGCCGCCATAGGACATATTGGGATCCCTCTGTTTGCGCCACTTCTTCCTCCTTCCCTTCGTCTCTGTCTCCAATCGCAGTTGGGGTTTTCAATTGATGGATTTGGGGTTGGAGGAGGAGGGAAGAAGCGGGATTGAGGCGGAGGGATTCAATTAGGAGGAGGAGGGAAGAAGCGGCGGCTAGGCGGAGGAGGAGGGAAGAAGGTCGAGAGGTGATGTTGCTGGGGAAGAAGAAGGGGAAAGTAGGGTTTTGACCCTTCATTTTTTTTATGATTGAAAATTAAAAATAAAAATTAATCTGATGTGGCTGTTGACGTGACCTTTTCTGTTACAAAGTTAATGACGGCAACAGATTGTTAGCCATTCATATACGCGCAACAATAGTTATGGCTAATAATTTGTATTTTCATAGTTGTAGCTATAATTCTATGTAACTTAAATAATTGTGATTAATATATTATTTTTACCCTTTTTTTAATTAATAAAGGTTAAACCAATTTACGAAGGCAAGATTCAGGCAGTCAGGCTCAGGCACCCATCATGTTAGTAAAGTAGATATTGTTTAGCTGATTGATATACGAATTAAGTTTTTTTTTTTTTTACCTTTTCGTTTAGTGGTTGCTTCCCCTGTATCTACATATTCTATTCATGGATTTTTCAATCCAATTTTTTTGAAAGTCAACAGGAGATTTAAGAATAACCTAATGGGTAGGAGCTTAATGGGGTGGGGGCATATTATTGAGGGACAAGCACAAGAGATTTGGCCGAGCTATTGGTCATAAGAAACCATTGGCACAATATATATGGTGGCGTATTCGGTGTACTTACTTTTTTTTGTGTATTCAATGGATTCGCCTTATAATCGTCATTTCGAGAATGCAATTAATGGCATAACGCTATCAATCGTTGTTTATGATATTATGAACAAGAAACACATGAATTTAAAAAAAAAACTCATTGAGTATTAGCTTTAATTTGAAGGATTTAGGGTTAGGGTTAGAGTTTATATTTTAAGGATACAATTTAGGACTTAGCGTTTTGAGGGTTAGGGTTCAAAATTGAAGATATAGGGAATAGGGCAATGCATTGGTTAGTTGTGACTTGTGCGAGTAGTATTAGTCGGTCGCTCAATGATGGAGCCACGTTGATGACAGGAGGACTATAGCCCCCTCAACTCTCAAAATCATGTAAAATTATATGTAAGTTTTGCAATAAATTTGGGAAATATAGTTGTTGGTAAGCCTCGGACCTTATCACCAGTTCAAATTCTCTGTGTAGATTTGCAGTTCCCCTCCTCTTTCAGTTTCCTCCCTCATCCGCTGACCGCGTCACGTATTATTTCTTTCAATTACTCATGCCAATGAATTAGTCATTGTTATCGACGATAAATGCGGTGATAATAATAATAAAAGAAATATCCATCCTCTGCTTCGATTTTAGTGTAAGATATATTGGTGGTGGTGGGGTTGGTTGAGAAACGTTGATGGGTGCAGTCTGGAGTGGAAGGTGGCGATGATGAGTGGGAGTGGTGGAGTGGATATATGGCACGCCCTCCTTCCTCTCCTCCACGATCTTTTGAAGCCTCCCAAAAAAAACAAGGATCACACATGATGATGGTCTCCACTGCACGCCTTTCTCTTTGTGTCTGCAAAGTGTGCAAAGATCTCTTTCTCCCTATCTATCTAAGTTCCTACAAAAACAACAGACACATTCCTCAAGCAAAGAATATTATTTTGAGGCCAGAAATTTTGGGTAATTGTCACCAGCACAGTCCATCCTCCAACACCCACCCTCCTCACCCCATCATCATCATCTTCTTCTTCTTTTATCCTTTTCTTTGACCCTTTTCTCATCTTCACCTTTTTTTACCTTCTCAAAGAAGATTTACTTCAAGTTATCATTAGGTGGGATTTAGACAATGTCAATAAGCACGTACACATAGATTAAGGTAAGGCAATTCTCTTGTATTGATACGTTTGCTTATGTGATCTTTGTTGTCTTCCAAGAGATTGTAGTAGCAATGATAATGCGTTTATTTAACTCTTAACTCTTCTAGAGGATGGCTTCTCGGTATCTTGGGTTGGAACATTGAGTCTGACATTACTTATGAGAGTTTCAACTTTTATTATTTTTTGGATCAGAAGTACTGCTTGAGGGTTGCTAGCTTATTAAAATTCAAATGGGGATTTCTCCTTATTGGATGGTTTAGGGAAGACTTGCCATTTATCAATCGAGTTAGAGAAGACAGATATCAACTCAATGAACTCGAGGAGTTCAGGCTTCATGTCTGTGAAAGTACAATTCTATACAAACAACGTACTAATTAACCATATTCACGATTCAAGACCTTCGTCAGTGTTTTCTAAGATTCATATCTTTGCTCTTTTCTTTGTAACATCATGGTCGTAAGTTTCAACTCTATCCATCACTTTCTCTACTTCAAACAAGCATACGTTGACCAGAGAATTAGAGATATGCTATGAATTTTTTTTTTTTTTTGTAGATCCATCTAACTAACTAAAACCAGTTTTCTAATCTAGATCATCTAAATAACTAAAACCCAATCCACTATCCAGTCTAGGGCTGGAGGTTCGGTTATCGGTTAATCGATAGGTTAGACCGATAACCGGCGGTTACCGGTTAACCGACTAACCGAAAAAGATGTACGCGGGCGGTGCTCGGTAGGGATATTGGAGGTGGCGGTTAACCGGCTAACTGACACGGCCAACCCCCCTTCAAAAAACGACGCCGCCCCCTCCCACTCTTCAGCGTTTCACCAAAACGACGGCTGCCTAACCCTAATTCGGCTTCGACTTCGTCTTCCTTCCCCAATTTTCCGAAGCGACTTCGTCCTTCCTTCCCTTCTCTGCATCGACGACGCCCACTCGCCGCCCAGCCACACAGTCCCCCGACGGCCGCTGTTGTTCCTCCGCCACCAGCACCAGTCCCCCGCCGCAAACCCTCCGCCGACTCCATCTCGTCCCTCGACCTCCAATCCATCTCATTCTCTCTTCTTCCCAGGCAACAGCAGTAAGTCAGTGACTTCAGACGACGCCGCGACCTGAGCGACGATGTCATCTCCCTCGCCGACCCGCGCCCCTGCTCGGCTACTCCGCCATCTCCTCCCCGACCAGCTTCCCGACTCTGCCGCCAGCGACAGTCCCCCGCCACATTTCCTCCGTCGAGCAGTCACCAGTCACCAGCCACCGTCCACTCCAATCCACGAACCGTCTGGGCTGTGCGGTTTCCTCTGTTAACCGACCAACTAACCGGTAACCGACCGGTCAGTTGTCGGATAACCAAGGAAGGTGGTCGGTCGGTTGGCGGTATAGTTTCCTTGCGTCGCGGTTAACCGGTAACCGACCGTTCGATTACCGGTTATAACCGAAATAACCAAACCTCCAGCCCTAATCCAGCCTGTAACGTTCAGTTCCCTAACTTATTAAAACCAATTTTGCGACCATCACTATTGAAAAAGTAACTTCTTCCATGGTTCGCTTGGAAAAATCTTTTTTGGAGAAATTTTACAATGCTATATAGTATTAGTGCTATAGGGTTTTGCCTTTATGGTACAACTTAAAATTGTACATTTACGTTATGGTACAACTTCAGATTGTACCTATACTTTTTGTACAAATTTTTTTATGGTACAACTTGAACTTGTACTTTTATGTGATGGTACAACTTCAAGTTGTAAAGTTGTACCATAACATAATGATACAAATTGCTTTATGGTACAACCTAAACTTATACATTTAATGTTATGGTACAACTTTAAATTGTACATTAAAGCACCAATACTATATAGCATAGTAGAAGTACTCTTTTTTTTTTTCTAAAAATATTCATGACGAACTAGTTCAAATACGTAAGGTTTTTAATTAATGAATTGTAAAAAACAACTAATTTTTTGTGTAAACCAAGTCATTGAAGTACAAAATAGAATAACACATCGCCATTCTACTCTCTATACTAAACCAGGAAGAAAAAAAAACGATAATTCCCAATAAGTTAGCTTGATGTCATAATAACTTGGAACTTGGAAGACATCTAATAATTCTTGGAATCGATCAGACCTTATGCGTGGCAAACATGATCAATGCATAATAATCAATGAGCCCATAAATTTACATACAGGTAGTTACTTTGCCCTGATTTTTTTTTATACAAAAATCGTACAAAATTTAAACACGTTATATATATTCACCTATACACCACATTTTATGACGGCGAAGCGAGACCAAACTTGAAGGGCACCTGCAACATTATATTAATCATGCTATATTAAAAACAAATAAAGTTTGATATCCCAAAAATCAAATGTTCTTTTATTTTATCAACTTTAAATACGCACTAGAGTCCACTGCACTTAATATAATAAAATAATGTGTATTTGATTTAACATAGCAAGTGTACTCGTACATATATATAGTGGGGTTAATCTGTGGGGCGATCACTAGTAAATGCATGCACCATTTATACCCATGGTGGTGAAATCCAGCGTGGTTTTATGTTGACATTTCTTGTTTTATTAATTTTATTATTATTATGGTAGGACATTATTAAAAAAAATTATTATGGTAGGAACTAGGATGAATGGAGCAGGCGACCAATGGACATATATAGTGCCCTTACCCCACGCGACCACATAACACGTCAACCTTTCCGAATTCCCCACTGTCCATTTCTCCCTGCTAGTGCTTATATATCGTTAGTAAATCCTTCGTTTAATACGTGTATATATGAATATATTCATTTTATGAATTAAATTGAAAAATTGAAAATAATTTATTTATTTATTTTTGTAAATTATTAGCAGCATAGATTTTATTACTATTGATACATTATTTAATGTACCATTAACTTAAGACAAAATAAAATGTCCTTACATATTTGATACATAATTTACTCGTTTCGTATTTTTTCAACTATGACGAAAATTCATGGGAAAAATTTGCTAGCTAGTAGCAAAGTGTTTATTGCATTCCTTTTTCATTGATCCCCCTTACAAAGTTGGGTTAATTGCATGGTTGGTCACTGAGATTACAAAAAACGTTCATGTTTGGTCACTCGAAATATTTAAATCCATTCGTGGTTACTAAAATTAGTAAAATCGTTCAAGTTAGGTCACTCTCCGTTAGTCTCCGTTAACCAAGACTGTTATGTGCAGAGGTGGCAGACGGAATCGTCTAGTCAGTCTAATTTAACCCAAAAACAATGAAATCCGGCATGCCATGTCACTATAACCTGCCATATCATTTTGTCCATCCCAATCCAACCCTTGAATCAAACTGACCCACCTACCCATGACTGTCCACTCAAACAAAATAAGGGTTTATCCTTTTTTTCCTTTCCAGATCTGAAAACCATCTTCTCTAGTTCTTCATGTTTCTTGCATTCCCTTCGAAAACCATGTCTGAATGGTGCTTGAATTGGTCGCCGCAACAATCGCACCCCCCCCCCAGCTTTTATCTCTCTCGCCTGCTCCTCCTCATCCGTCGCTCCGTTCCTTCTCCTCCCCTTATCTCATCAATTCGAATCCCCGCTGCACCTCCATGGTTCCCCTGCCCAAGCTTCTGTCGCCATGACTTCTGAATTCTCCCTCGCTGCTTCCTCCATGGTTCCCCATCACCGTCTGACTTTGACGATATCGATGATGAGAAAGAGGGATTCCAAGGTCTTTCCATTTCTTGGATTAAGCCGCTTTTGCTACTCTCCACCTCAGTCGCCGATCTAGATCTAGCGAATCCCCTGCTGACCACCAGGCCCAGATTTTCGATAATATTCCAATCCAACAAAGAGGCAGAGGGATTAAGAAGATCCCTTCCAACAAAGAGTAGAAGAAGAGGCAGGTGAGAGGCTTTAGCAGAGGGTTGGATGAAGGAGCCAGGAAGACTGGAAGAGGAAGCTTTAGCAGGGGGTAGAAAGAAAGAGATAATCTCTAGAGATGAAGGAAGGGGGAAGCTTGGAAGGTTTTGGTTCTTCTTTCTGTTTCGGTCTCTAAGGAGAAAGAAAGAGATAATTTAGGCCGTTGTGGTTAGGGAATGGAATTATGAAGAGACGGGGAAGAAAACAGAGAAGATCCAGAAGAAGCTTTATTGCACCAAAGAGGGGCTTTTTTTGCTCTCCATCAGAGAGGGGTTGAGAGAAGAAGACAGAAAGATGGGAATCTGTGTTGGTTTTTATATTTTTTTATTTTATTTTAAATGATTAATAATAATCTGACATGGCGGGTCGGGTTTTATGACGTGGCATGTTAAAATGGGGCGAATCAGCATATTTGTTAGCCACATCAACAAATAATTGACGGTGTTAATGGAGACTAATGAAGAGTGACTAAACTTGGACTGTTTTACTAATTTTAGTGACCACAAATGAATTTAAATATTTCGAGTGACCAACATGAACATTTTTTTTAATCTTAGTGACCAACCATGCAATTAACCCTTTAAAATCAAATCATGATGGCGACTTTTCTACTAGTTACCTCACAGCTTTTTGCCACCATCTTATATTCTTATTCCCTTTCTCCTCCACCTAGATAGCTAGCTTGTATGGTATATATATATATATATATATATTCGCCCAGCCACTACTCTCTCTTCATATGTCCACCATTTTTACCCTCCTTCACTTGTTTGTATCTTGGTGGTTTTGTTTTGCTTGGTTAAGGTTTTGCGGGTTCACAGAATCTTCTCAATAGCGTTGGAAACAAAAACAGTATGGGTGAGATATCTTGCTCCACTGAACCAATCAATGGAGTGCTGAGTCGCTCATCTTCATCCCCACCACCTAGTGGCTACAGGAAGAGCTGTTGGTACGAGGAAGAGATCGAGGAGAACTTGCGCTGGTGCTTCGCTCTCAACAGGTACAAGTATTACAAATCTTCTTGTAACAAACTCCAATCTCGTCTCGTTTGCTCTAATAATCATTTCGTTCATCCAGATTGCTCCTCGTCTGTTATGAATCAATAATCATGAAGTTTGGGTCTTTCTTCTTTTTGGTGCCTGGGTTTTAATTTTAGTGGGTCGGTCATCTTTCCTGGCTTTTGCAACCTTATTAATCCTGATCATACCGGTTAGTGAGAAACCAATGTCAACAAAGGGAGATTAATTAAGAGAACTAATTAATAAATAAAATAATGATCGTGATCGGTCCGAAAAAAGCCCGACAAATCACAAAAGTCCTTTAAAAAAGGAACAGTAAATTGTTTCAAGTCCAAAAGACAACACGAAACACCATTATCTCTTCTGTTCTGTCTCTCCGCCAACTAACTTATTAATAATTTATTTATTTTCATGTCTTTTTTGTGCAGTATTTTGCATACAGGGTCGACCCAGTACCAGGAGATTGCCCTGTTCGACACAAAACCCTTCGGCAAGGTCTGCCTCTTAAGCTCTTTTTGATTACCTTGACGAAATTAATTACCTGCAGATCAGTAATGAAGCCTTATTGTTTTAACTTTCAGGCGCTAGTAATTGATGGGAAGCTTCAGAGCGCAGAGGTGGATGAGTTTGTTTACCATGAATGCCTTGTCCACCCACCCCTCCTTAATCACCCTAAGTAAATAATTACCAGCAAGTGCTCTCTAATCATCATCATTACTGTCGATCTCACGCTTGGTTTTAATTAATCTCCGTCCTAATCCCGTGTGTTTAAGCAGTCCAAAGGCAGTGTTCATTATGGGAGGAGGTGAGGGCTCGACAGCAAGAGAGATCCTTAAACATACAACAGTGGACAAGGTTGTAATGTGCGACATTGACGAGGTACTTAACAATTAACATTAATTAGCAATTGGTATGTACTTATCCTACTTGTGTTAGTACTGATGTGATTTACAACTGGTAGGAAGTGGTAGAGTTCTGCAAGGAGTACTTGGTCGTGAACACTGAAGCTTTTAATGATCCCAGGCTTGATGTCATAATCAATGATGCCAGGTAACTAGTTAGTCAAGTTTTTTAGGGTAATTAGCATGCTGTTGGGCTTTTGTTGATGGGGAGTGGGCTTGTTGATGGGCCCAGGGCCGAGCTAGAGAAGAGAAAAGAAGAGAAGTTTGATGTGATAGTTGGGGATTTGGCCGACCCAATCGAAGGAGGCCCATGCTACAAACTCTACACCAAATACTTCTACGAGTCCACTGTGAAGCCCAGGCTGAGTCAGGGGGGCATTTTCGTCACTCAGGCTGGACCGGCTGGGATTTTCAGCCACGCTGAAGTTTATACCTGCATCTACAACACTCTGAGGCAGGTGTTCAAATGTAAGTAATTAAGCAACTAGATTATCTTAAACAAGGGTTTTAATGAATGAGATTTATAAGTTTTCACTCAAAAGTTAGTACATAATTTTAGTGATTATTGTTACTGTTGTTGTCAGTAAGTGAACGAGTTTTGGCATTTTTGGGTTGGCAGATGTTGTGCCTTATGCTGCTCATATTCCTTCCTATGCTGACACTTGGGGATGGGTCATGGTATTGTTACATTGTCTTCGAGTTTCCTACTTTTTTTTTTTTTTTTGGGTATGTCATTGCATTTCATCATTTCCTCCAATAATCACAGGCTTCAGATAGTCCATTGGAGATAAGTTGTGAAGAGATGGATCTGAGAATCAAGCAGAGAGTGGAAGGGGAGAATAAGTATCTAGATGGAACCACCTTCTCTTCTGTCTCTACTTTGAACAAAGTTGTTCGAAATTCGTAAGTAGTTAAATGAATTGTAAGGAACAAACTACATAGTTTTAAGTTCATTGTTGTTTGAATTTATAATTAATGTGGGTTGTTGTAGGTTGTTCAATGAGACACATGTTTACACGGAAGGAGCAGCAAGATTTATTTACGGTCATGGCAAAAACGAGCTATAAGTTCGACAAGAAGAAGAAGCACAGAAGGAAGAACCCAAAGAGAAGTTGTGAAGATTAAGGGATGAAGAAAAAACAACCAAGTGAAATATATTATATGTGATGCCTTTATATATTAAGAAAATGTTTTAATTTTTCTTTATTTGGGATACATGGTTCTCTTGTTAAGTTGATCATGTAGCCTCTTTTTGTTATTCCTAAACATCATGATATGACATATTCTCGTTGTTTTGTGTTTCTTTGTGTGGGCACGATTACTTTTTGTGGTTGATTTATCTTTATGAAAAAAAACAAAAAAAAATAGAATGGTTGGTGAAACTTTATTCCTCTCCAATTAATACGGTGCAAAATCTTTTAATTTTGATATTTTAGTTTCCACTCATTTAGATTTCCGGTTATTCCACTTATGAGAATTATCTAGAGAAGCAATTTCAAGAAGCTTTCGGAGTTGGATTTATTATCCAATAGTGAATTATTTTCAGTAGTTGAGAATATTATTGATAAATTCAACAATAAAATTTACCTGATAAAAAATAAACACATAGTTTGATTTTTTACAATGGCATCATCAAATTAATGCTATTTTTTTCTATAGATATTCCCAAAAAAGAGAAAAGCAAATATAAAGTATAACAATATACTAGATTTTGCAGGCCAAATCAAAAATAAAGAAAAAAAATTTGCAAGTCTGACAATAATAGGACTTTTTCCCATGATATAGACAACCTATAATTAACGGTGGATCTTTTGGAGCTTTCGAGAGTGATTATTATTTGGGTCGGCTAAAGGTTGCAAGACAGATCGGGATCGACTATGTTTGATCCAACTGAGTTATGTTATGGGCGTATAGCGCAGCTATATAACCACAATTCATAGGCCAACACTACGGTGCCGCTGTAAAAAGTGCGACACCGGTGACGCAGATTACGATTGGACCACGTGGATCTGACGTGGCATGAGCTGGGTTTATTATGATCAAATCGGTCCAAACTAGTTGGCCCATTTAAAGTTGCCAAACCCAGCTACGGACAAACTAACGGGTGGATGTTTGATAGTTTTCTTCTTCCATTAGTCAATTTTAAATTTATTTAACATTTAACTGTGTTATTTTTTTCCTGGAAAACAAACTATCCAAAAGCAAACACCATAAACATCTTAACCGAACAAAAATTCTTCTTGTTCTTAAAGTTCTCCATTAGCCAAAGAAGCGAGGAAACACGGTTGATGGACAAAACTACAGATACCGCTCTTTAATAAGCAGTACATCCCGGAAAAAAGTTTCAATCTAGGAGGAAATCCCTTTCCTTCCCCCTTGTTCTTTCTGGAAACATAGAGGGAAAAAGAAGACAAAGGTGGCAGCGGGATGGAGGCGGAGGCAGCCGACGCCGGCGATGATTCGAAGACGGCAATTGAGATTTCACAGAAGTGAAGAACTACAAGACTGTGTCGTTTTACTTAGCTGTTGTCCCTTTTTATGTTAACCATTATCGTTTTCATTTACCACAATTAGCCGTTAGTTGAACAGTGTTTAGTGGATAATAGCTAATAGCACATCGACACGTGTGTTCCTTTCGTAATTGCTTTTGAACATTATATATAGCAGCTTATGAGCTCAGTAAGAGACTAAGTCTCATCTTCTCCAATTCAATAAAACTGGTATGGTATCAGAGCATAAGGTCTAGGGTTTCCCAGCCTTCACGAACACCACCATGGCTCAGTTCACACCTCCCGTCACTCCAGGTGGTGCTACTGGATCTGGAACCACAGCGGTGGATCTGCACTTTGGAAGCTTCAATCAGGAGAATCATCAAATAGAAACCATTGCCTTTGGTAATCTCTTTTATCTCAACCCAAATGCAAATATGTGCCAATCTTTAGTGTCTGAGCTATTTGATGGAACCAATTACACGATGTGGAGTAGATTGATTCAAGTAGTTTTGGAACCAAGAAAAAATTGGGTTTTATTGATGGTAGCATATTCACTCCCCCACGCGACTTTGTTTGCTTTCCGCTATGGGATGCTTGTAATACCCTAGTTCTATGTTGGATTCAGAATTCTATGAACAAAGATTTGCGTAGGGCAATGCTAACCCATACTAATGCCAAGGCATTGTGGGAAGAGCTAAAGAGGCGTTTTGGTAAACCAAACACACTCAGAATCATCAATCTTGTATATGAAATTACTGCTTGTAAGCAGGGTTATAAGTCGATTAATCAATACTTCATTGATCTTAAGGGTCTTTGGGAACAATATTTGGAGTATAATCATGTCATACCTTGCAATTGTGCTCCTTGAAACCCATTGCCTTGTCCTGCCTTTACCCAGAAGTAGGAAACAAACTATTCATAAGATTCTTAAGAGGAGTAAACTCTGACTATGATGTTGTGAAGACTCAGCTACTGATGCAGAAACCCTTGCCCACAATCTCTAAGGCTGTGGATGATCTTCTACAAAATGAGCAGAAATGAAAAGGTGATAGTCATTTAAGTGGTAAGAAGACACAATCTCTAGCACTTGCTATTGGTAATCAACAGAATAAAGATTTGGATGATTCAGACCCATGAAGGAAGTATTGTCGTTATTGCAAGAAAAAAATCACTATATTGAAGATTGTTGGAGACTTAAGAGGAAAGAGGAAGCAATCTGATCAGCAAGACAGGATAAGCAATTATGGTTCTAATTCCAACTCAAGCTCATGCTCAAATACACCCAAATTTGCTGGTTCAGTCTCTCAGAATTCAGTGACAGAGGTCCCAACAGAAGGAAGTGTACCTAGGGACAATAATGTGCCTCCTACTCCACTTACCTTTACACCTGATGAAATGAATCGCCTGAAGTACTTGTTGCAAGTATATGAGTTTTAGGAAGAATAACTTGTAACTTGTATCATTATGAAACCACAAAGGGGTTTATGTAGATTACAAGACTTGGAAGTACAATAAGTAAGAGAAACACAATAATTGTAATACTAGAAGGACACGGAAATACTAAGACTTATACTAGAAGGACAAGGAAATATAAGATTATTCCTAATCTATCTCTAACACGCCCCCGCAAGATGATGGTGCGAAGAACAACATCAATCTTGACCAACATACGCCAATCTTGAAGAACATGCCCCCACAATGTGATGGTGTAGAATGTGATGCAAACTAGTCAAACTCTCGTGCTTGTAGAGCAAAGCCAACTAACCGTCATCTTGGAGAATAAGAAATCATCAAACTTCCAATGCAGATGTTGCAATGAAACTCACTCGCCGTCAAAATTGAACCAGGATCGAGATGAATGAATTGGTTTTAACGATACCAATAAATGTAACTGGTGTAGGACACGAAGAATTCATCCGAATGACTGTGGTCGGAGAAACTTCCTTTGTTCCATACACACAAAGGAGAGATGGTTGGAGATTGAATGTGGACTCCATACCATAAAAGCTCTTGATCATGAAAGAGCTGAAATTAGACACACGATATACAAGCGGTAAAAGCCGGAGCTTCATCTCCCAAGTAAGGCGGCAATGGTCGATCTACATGGAACAAAAATTAGCAGAGTCGGCGGCAATGGAAAATAGCGATCATCAATCAATGAAAGATAGAATTGGGGAATGACAGCTAGACGCTATTGGGGACGTGGGATAGGGAAACAATTAGAGATAGTGCCTAGGGGTGTGGGACAAGGAACGATTAGCATAGGATCTTTTTAATGAAACAAAAACTATCAAACTAATAAATAAATAAGCAAACAAGGTAGTTTTTTGGAGAACCAGCGGGAGAACTAGATAGATCCGGGAGAATGTGGAGACATGCCGCCGGTGGAATGAAACAAGGAGAGTTAGGGTTTCTGGATCAAAGTTGTTAAGCTATAGGCTCTAATACCATATAGGAGTATTAGGAAGAGTAACTTGTAACTTGTATTATTATGAAACCACAAAGGTGTTTATATAGATTACAAGACTTGGACAATAAGTAAGAGAACCACAATAATTGTAATACTAGAAGGACACGGAAATACTAAGACTTATACTAGAAGGACAAGGAAATATAAGATTATTCCTAATTTATCTCTAACAACAAGTTGGTGCTAACCCATTTCCTTCACCACCACCTTCTCCAACCTTGAACCACCAAGCATATTCTATATCTCGTTATATGCCATCTTATCCAAATCACTCAGGTACTTTCACCTTTTTACATTGAAACCTAGTCCCGTTCATGTTCAAAACCTATGGGTACTAGATACAGGAGCTTCTGACCACATTGCTTGTAGCCTGTCTCTATTCAGTGAGCATAGATCCATTCCCAACTCATTTGTTCACCTTCCTAACAACACACAAGTATCTGTTACACATATAGGAACAATTATCTTACATTTAGAACTGTCACTCTATGATGTATTGTGCGTTCCAAGTTTTTCTTTCAACCTAGTTTCTGTAAGCAAACTTACACATGATCTACTAGTCTCCTTACTTTTTTAATATGATCATTGTTCTATTAAGGACCTTCTAAGTCAGAAGACGATTGGTTTAGCAAAAGAAACTAGAGGCCTCTATCACCTTTCCCTCTGTACCACAAAGCAACAACACACTTCATCACCTTCACAACCTCGAATAGCTTCCCTTTTCAACTTCAACCCACATCAATTAGAGCTTTGGCATTGGAGACTAGGCCATCCCAATCATGACAGGTAGACACTCCTTAGTCATAGTACACCCTCTGTAACTAGCTCTAGGACCAAACACTGTGATGTGTGTCATTTATCTAATCACAAAAGACTTTGTTTTCCTGTTAGCACCAATGTAGCACCAGATAGATTTCATTTACTTCACATGGATATTTGGGGGCCATTGTCTGTTACGTCTTATGATGGTTTCAATTATTTCCTTACTATTGCGGATGACTATTCTCGTGCTGTTTGGGTCTATTTACTAACACATAAGCATAGTTCATAAATACTCCGTTTAATACACGTATATGTACTCGTACATAATTTATCTGTTTAAAACTTCGTTATCCGTATTATTGTCAAGTCGTTTCATTTCTTTCCGTCATTTGATGGCTCTCGTACTAAACACGTACAAAACCCGTATAACACGTTTAATATCCGTATTTAACGAATTAAATGGTAACTTTACTATTATTTATATATTATATTAATATTAAAATAATTAATTTTATATATTTATGACTATTAACGTACTATTAAACATAACATTAGGTTAGAGATGAAGTAAGATACTCGTACGTATTTTACACGTAACTTTCTCGTACCGTATTTTACTAACTATGCATATAAGAGTGAATTAAGGAAGTTATTGAAAGGATTCTGCCAATTGGTAACGAATCAGTTTGGTACATAGTTAAGGTGATTCGAAGTGATCAGGGGAAGGAATTTGCCATGTGTGAATTCTTCTCACAGGAGGGTATTGAACATCAAATGAGTTGTGTTGAAACACTTGAGCATAATGCTCGTGTTGAAAGAAAACACCAGCATATCCTTAATGTTGCCAGGTCTTTAAGGTTCCAATCAGTAGTGCCTCCTACCTTTTGGAGTGATTGTATCCTCCATTCAATTCACTTGATAAACATAATTCCTATTCCCTTGTTAGCCAACAGATCTCCCTTTGAAGTTTTGTATGACAAGCAATCTTCTTTAAGCCACCTTAAGGTGTTTGGCTGCTTATGTTATGCAAGTACCTTATCTCATGGGAGAACTTAGTTTGCTCCACGAGCAAGGCAGTGCATTTTTCTAGGTATCCCTATTGGTATTAAGGGCTACAAGGTCCTAGACTTGCACAATCAACAAGACTTCTTTTCTAGGGATGTAGTGTTCTATGAAACAATTCTCCCTTACAAATTTCCAGATCCTTCCTCTTCCACTCCTTCTCCTACTCCTAGTTATAGAGATTTTTCCAGAAATAGCACTGTTTAAAAAAAAAATTCCAAAAATAGCACCCAACTCCGAAAAATTCCAAAAATAGCACCATTTTTTTAAACCGCAACCCGGAGGTGCGTTTTTCGATGAAAACGCCACCCGAGGGCGCGTTTTTCGATCCAAACCGCACTGGTAGGGAGCGGTTTTGCAAACCGCACCCCCAGGGTGCGATCTGCCTTTTTTTTTTTTTTTTTTTTTGCAAACCGCACCCCCAGGGTGCGATCTGTTTTTTTTTTTTTTTTTTTTTTTTGAAAAATCCTAACTTAGGTGGAAACTTCAAACAAACGTATCTTTATGTTCGGGTATCCGATCGCCGCGATTTTTTTTTTGACCGCATAACTTTTTGAGATCTTGCAAGCCGAAGACTGCCAAAGGTGGTTTGGTCTCGCCTTCGAACCAAAAAATGTCGTTTGCTACCCCGAACGAGCATTTTTTCGATTTCGTGAAACTTTGAACGACCATAACTTTGTGCTCCACAATCCGAAAATCATGATTTTTTTTTTTATTTTGCATAAATTTTTGAGGACTAAATTTTTTATCATAGACATAATTTCGGAATGTACTTGGATTCCTAAAAAGAAAGGTAAACTTATTCCCAAAACCCCGTATATCCAAAATAATTCATTTTTTGAAAATTCTCTCCTAGAAAAAATTGTAGTCCTCAAAAAGTTATGCAAAATCAAAAAAAATTTCATGATTTTCGGATTGTGGAGCACAAAGTTATGGTCGTTCAAAGTTTGACGAAATCGAAAAAAGGATCGTTCGGGGTAGCAAACGACGTTTTTTCGGGACGAAAGCGGGACCAAACCGCATTCGGCATTTTGCGGCTTGCAAGATCTCGAAAAATTATGCGGAATCAAAAAAAAAATCGCGACGATCGGATACCCGAACATAAAGATACGTTCGTTTGAAGTTTCCACCTAAGTTAGGATTTTTCAAAAAAAAAAAAAAAAAAAAAAAAAAACAGATCGCACCCTGGGGGTGCGGTTTGCAAAAAAAAAAAAAAAAAAAAAGGCAGATCGCACCCTGGGGGTGCGGTTTGCAAAACCGCTCCCTACCAGTGCGGTTTGCATCGAAAAACGCGCCCTCGGGTGGCGTTTTCATCGAAAAACGCACCTCCGGGTTGCGGTTTAAAAAAAATGGTGCTATTTTTGGAATTTTTCGGAGTTGGGTGCTATTTTTGGAATTTTTTTTTTAAACAGTGCTATTTCTGGAAAAATCTCCTAGTTATACACCACTTTCCTCTTCTGATCACCCTCCAATTTCCATACCTGCTTCTTCTCCTACCAATTCCATCTCACCTGACACTCCTTCTAGCAGTTCTCCATCATTGCCTCGCTCTGATTCATCCATGGATGAAGGAGGAAACATTGAGTCATTGCCTACTGCCATGGATCACTATGAGTATTTTAAAAGTGATACCCAAGAATTGTTGCCACAAGCTGATTTTGATAAAGATGAGCAGACTTGTAATGGAACTTTACCTACTAAAAGGCAGATTAAAATGCCAACTAAGTATCAAGATTATCAACTATACCCTTCTCTGAAGTTTGGAGTTTTTTGTCCAGTGAATGCTTGTAGGAGGTACCCTATTTGTGTGAGTATTGATAAACTAACTCCTGATGACATGCATTATGCACTCAGTGTGGTCAATATACAAGAGCCAAAGTCATATTATGAAGCTATTCAGGATGATATATGGAATTAGGCAGTTAAGTCAGAAATACATGCATTAGAGTAAAATCAGACATGGGATATTGTGGAACTGCCAACGGGTAAGAATGCCATAGGCAACAAATGGGTTGTTAAGATTAAGCTCAAACCATATGGATCCATGGAAAGATGCAAGTCAAGACTGGTAGTCAAGGGTTTTAATCAAGGTTATGGCATTGATTTCCTTGATACATTTTCACCAGTGGCAAAGATCAATACTGTTAAGGCACTCTTAGTAGTGGCAAGTGCCAAGAATTGGGTTTTGGAGCAGTTAGATGTGTCTAATGCATTTTTACATGGTGAATTAAATGGAGAAGTGTACATGAAGATACCACTGGGAGTTAAAGTTCCTAACCCAGCAGGGAAGAATCTGGTTTGCAGGCTTAAGAAGTCATTATATGGTTTAAAACAAGCCTCCACGCAGTAGTTTGCTAGGCTTGCAGGTTTCCTTCTCAACAATGGCTTTTCACAGTCAATTTCATATTATTTACTTTTCTTCAAATGAATGCACGGTAGAGTTGTGGTCTTGTTGGTATATGTTGATGATATAGTACTAGCTGGAGATGCACACAAAAACATTGATCAGGTAAAGTCAGCCTTGAGTAAGGAATTTAAAATCAAACTTCTGGGACCCTTAAAGTACTTCTTGGGTTTTGAAGTTGTGATGAATGAAAAGAGCATAGATGTATGTCAACTAAAGTATTGTGTTGAGTTGTTAAAGGAAACTGGTTATTTGGAATCCGAAGGGTGTAAATCACCAATGGATACAAAGGTTATATTGTCAGCACAAGGAGTGCTTCTAGAAGATGGATAAGCCTAAAGAAGGATAGTAGGGAGGTTACATTATCTGACTATCACCAGGCCAGGCATAGCTTTTGCGGTTCAACAGCTCTGCCATTACCAGAAAAGTCCATGCCAAGAACACATGCAAGCTGCCTTCAGGGTTTTGAGGTATTTGAAATTAGCCCCAGGGCAAGGAATACATTTCAGTAGCAGGAATGATCTGAAGCTCACTGGCTACTGTGATTCTGACTGGGCAAGTTGCCCTGACATAATAAGGTCATTTACAGGGTATTGTACCTTCATTGGTGATTTGTTGCTGACATGGAGGACAAAGAAGCAGACAACTATGTCAAGATCTTCTTCAAAGGCAGAGTACAGGGCATTGGCACACATTGTTTGTGATATTCAGTGGCTGAAACAATTGATGGGTGAGCTTACAGTTAAGGTACCTCTACCTATTTCTATCTTCTGTGCAATTTATATTGCTATAAATTAAGTGTTCCATGAAAGAACAAAGCACATAAAAATTAATATACATGTTACCAGAGATCGCATTAAAAGTGGTTTGATCAAGTTGAATCATATTGGTAATGCAAATCAATTAGCATACATGTTTACAAAGGGTTTGGATCGTTTTAAAATGCGTGATATGTTAATCAAGTTAGGAGTCACAAACATGTTGGAACCCCTAACTTGAGGGGGGATATCAGGAATAATAAGCTAATGCAGAAGGTTGTCAAGGACTGAATCCGAGAGCTATGTGGATTGCAGAATGGAGAAGACACAGAAGTGAAGAACTACAAGACTATGTCATTTTACTTAGATGTTGTCCCTTTTTTGTTAAACGTTATCGTTTTCATTTCCCTCAATTAGCCGTTAGGTGAACACTGTTTAGTGGATAATGGCTAATAGCACAGATAGGGGTGGGCATCCGGTTCAGTAAATCCGAACTGACCCCAATCGAAACCGAACTTGACCGAACCAAAACCGAATTAATGTTATTCGGTTCGGAATTCGGAAGACAGAACCCTATATTTTGGAAACCAGGGTTTGCTCAACCGAATCCGATATTCCGAATTCCGACCGAACAAACCGAAATTCCTCACCCTCTCACACATACAGCCCACAATTACAAGCCCACGACCAACAATTACAAGCCCATAGCCCAAGCCGACTTTCTCTAACACTAAAACCCTAGACAAGTCCAAAATCCTCTCCATATTTACATCTTCCTGCCTTGTTGATGTCGCCATCCCTAGTTATTGATATACCGACACCGACGGCGGCCTTTGGCCGGCCACCAGAGACCAACACATTTTTCTCTTTCCGTTCTCATCTCATCGCCGGCCATTGAAACTCAGAAAACCAACCAAAAATAAAATCACATATTAGTAAAAGCATACAAAAAATCTGAATTAAACAAAAACAGAATCATTTTACCAAGAGGGATCCAGATCCTAGATCTACGGCAGTATGCGACAGCGGAGGCACCCTATCCAGATCTGCGGTAGCATGCGACGACGATGACACCCTATCCAGATCTGCGGCGGGATGCACGTCTCGTCTCTCTTCAGTCTTCACAGCCTTGGGAGGGATCCTCAGCGGTGGGGGACTTTCCTCCTTTTCGATCGCGCCGCCGCCGAATACATGCAAGCAATGAAACCGCGAGTTTGGAATTTGGAGACGGAGGAGAGAGTAGAGAGAGAGAGAAGGGGGTGAGGAGTCTGGAGAAGGAGGAGAGGCTTAGAGAGTAGAGAGAGAGAGAAGGGGGTGAGGGATTAATCTAGGGATCAAAAATAGAGATAGGGTTTTACAATGATTGGGTTGCAATGTGAGATTTGGGAAGATTCAGACTCGGATGGGAGGCACCACGGATGAATAGGATGCGACGCCAGCGACCATGACTCTGCTCTCCCTCGGCACTCCCCGACTCTAAAGCCTCATCCGTAGTTCCCAACTTCACTTTCGCTAGAGGAGGTAGGTCTGCCTTGGGGCTTGGGGAGAAATCAAAGTGGAGAGGGAGGTGATAAGATGAAAGAAGCAAAGGGTGATGGATGAATCCGAAAGATGAATTGGAAATAGGGAATAGAGATTTCCGTATGAGAAGAGAGCAGTTGCGGAGATTGGGAAATGGCCAAATGGAAATTCATAATTGTGTGGGGAATTAGGTTTCGTGTGGTTTGTGAGTGCCGAGTGGGAGGTGAGGGTATTTTTATTTTTTTTTACTCAATTTTGTTTCAACCGGCAGCATTTTTAGGGATCGAATAAAATATCCATTTTATTTTGGTCATATGTGGCACGTTAATGAAGTAGGAGGGCCGATTATATAGTAGTTATGATTATTTAATATTTCAGTGGCCCTTATATTTCGGTTTTATTCCGGTATTACTTTGGTACGGTATCCTGATTTTGTCGGTATGGTATTTTGACGAAAAAAAATATTTTATTATTACAAAAACGGTATTTACCGATGTAGAATGGTTGAAACACGGCCGTATCATAAAATACCCTACCAAAAAGGAATCCAGTATGATATCCGGTACGGTTTCCTGAACCATGCTTTGACTCCCTATTCTTCCATCTACTTTGTTTTTTATTGATTCATAATTGATTACGACTTCGTTAATCGGAGTTCGATTGAGGCTTATGGCCTGTTTCAATTCATTTTGATGTAGTTGTTGAGTGTTGTGAAAGGCGTTATTCCGTTTGTTCGTTTAGCAGGACCTTGCGATTTCACCCGCTTTCAATCGGCCGACTAATTCGTATTTTCCACTTCAAGTTGAAGACCGGCGATTATCTCTAATAGTCAGACGTCAGAACCCCGACTCTGGACCACTTACTGCCTGCCGCCTGCTGCCCGCCAATGTGACTTCATCCTAATTTAAAACAGGATCAGTTCCTTTTTGCTGCGCTAACGGTGGAGATAAAGCATTATTATTATTTTAATTAACAATTCTGTCCATTTGCTCTGCTAGCGGGATGAGGCCTTTTGCTTTGGTGTTCTAAAAGTCATAACTTCTAATTTAGTAATTTAGGTCTGCTTGCTAAGCGTACTATTAGTTCAATGAAATAACATTATCTTTTTGCTTGTACTGATCCGAATGAGTTTCATTCTTTAATTGGTTCGTGGTACTTGAGCATCAGTGGGGGTGAATTAGCACTACCCTGTTTTTCTTTATTTTATTAGTTTCTTGCTTCGTCGAACCCTCTTGTCTTTTTGTGTAACACGCTAACCCGGCCGGGTACTAATTTTACTAAAATGCCCTTGACAAATAAAATATTCAAATCTTAAATTTCAGCGGAAAAAATTTTCATAAATAAAATACTGAAAACACACTTGTAGTTCAAAGCAAAGCCCTAACACGTGGGCAAATTAAACTCAAACTTTAAATCTCAATATGTTCTCCAGTTTATACTCATAATCATAAAATGTAATGTCTATTTTTTACCCAAACCTTTTTCAGATTCTTTTATTTTAACCAAACCTATTGAATTCCTAAAAATTATCCAAACGTTAACTCTCCTTCAACTTTTCTGTTAGTAATGCTGACTAAGTATGACCATAATGAGTTGACTTCCTACGTGGCGGTCAGAATACCATCATTTACTATTTTTAATAAAAAGATTATCAAAAAACAAAACAAAATCCCACCTCTCACGTGGACGAAATAAGTAACGGTAACAGAATGAATGCCCAGACTTTGATAAATTATAATACGTTTGGATAATAAATAGAATTTCTATAGGTTTGGTTAAAATAAAAGAATCTGAAAAAGGTTTGCGTAAAAAATAGACATTGCCCTAAAATGTAAATAATTAGGTAGTCTCTGTCGTTGCTGCTACTGAAAATCTTAACTAGGCATCCTCCGCGACGCTTGCACTGCCCTCCTCTAGCTGGTTGCTCTCAAACTTTTCCTCTCGAACTCGCTACTCTCTAACTGCTCCTCTAGCTAGCTACTACCGATCTGGTTCTCGCTCATTCCCTTACTAAGGCCTCGTGAGTGAGTTGGGGTCAGTCTACGCCCTTACGTTTTAATAATTCTAATACCTGAGTACTTTACTTAAACACTTAACTTTGACTAGTGGAAGTTGTTCTGTACTTCCATTCTCAACAATCTTAACTCATAAAATTCTTCGGGAGTTAAAGTTACTCTCCCTTCTTAAAGCTCAAAACTTGACTTAAATATTTTGACTGACACGGGATCCCTCACTAGCTAGTCCAGTTGCCCAACTCATACGTATGAGAAGCCATTCAGGCTTTCCTTAAACTTAAACTTAGTTAGGGAAGTCGTAACGATTCATCCCCCTAACATCTTAAACTTATCGTGGTGGCTCTTCACCACGATTCTCAAGGGCATAACTGTTGCCCATCTTAAAAGTCTCAAGAGCATAACTGCTGCTCTATCTCGAAATGTCTCAAAAGGCAACGGACTGGCGCTAGTGACTAAAAACACTTAAAACGACTTCACCTTCTTGAAGGTGAGTTACTTCTTAAAAAGAACTTGTTTCTTAACTTTAACAATAACTTATATATAAACGAAAAGCTTTAAATTAACTAAGACCTCATGCACATTCACATCAAGCATAGCTCAAACAATATCACATGTCATCAATCATAAGCACAATCAAACAATAGCAACTAATTCACAAAATACTTAAAACTCATAAGACAAATACTTTAAAATACGTAAGGCGTAGAATTTACCCCCTTTACACTCACCTTACTTCTGTCGGAACTGGCTCTGATTTTTGCTCCAATGATTTCATACTCGCTTCCAAAATAATTAGTACACTCCTACTTGCTTGACAATGGACCAGCTTGCTTGACCATCAGCTCTCGTTGTAGGAGGATGGCTGGACGAGCTTGCTTAAAGCTGCCGATCGCTATGCAGCCAATCCTCTGCCGATCGCTATGGCTTAGATCCTGCTCGGGCTTGATCTCGCACGAGCTTGCTTAAGCTAGCAGCTCTCGTGGTAGGGAGGGCTGCCTATCGCTTTGCGGCCACAGATCCCTCTCACCCCCGACGTTCAGTTCTGCCGCTTTCTCCCCGCCGCCCTCGTATCATGCCGAACAGGATAGCGGAGACGGTTTAGGGTTAATTAGATGGTGCTCTCGGGTTTGGTAGGGTTTAATTAAACTAAGGGGGTATTTTTGGTACTTGACGTTTGATTAGGAACCGGGTGAGTTTAATCCGAAACTCGATTAATGTCCGTAACTTTCTCATTTGATGTCGAAATTCGACACCGCTTGAACCGATAGTTCACATTTTTAGTCCTCCTCGACATTACGGTGAAATTTGACAAATTTGGACCAACGGCATAATCGTCATTTTGCCTTAGAAAAAGATTGGTATAACATTTTGTTCGTTTGTTTTGAAGGAAATGGCATGGATATAGTCCTAGCTGGTACATATCTTATAGATTTATTTGGCGGCTAGCTATGTTTTTTGTTTTCTTCCTTTTGTTGGTTTATTTTGCAGGGAATGGCTGCTCTGCTTTTGATATCAACAAAGATGATATATCCTCCGGCTTCTCAGGATTTGGCGGGTGTTGTGTATCCGCTTACATCATTTGTTGCATTTCTTAGGATACTAACAGAACTGCCCATTTAGTGGCTAAAAAGGCTCTTTTATCGGCGAATTGATTAGCTATCGACCGCCGCATTTGCTTATTTCATTTTCTATATATTTGTAAGCATACTGCATTGTACATCTATTGATGACATTATACACATATCTATGAAAAAAATTACCATACACATCTTCCTCTTATCTCTCGTCGTCTGATTCTGAAAAGAACTCCGGCGAACGCCACAATCACCGATCCAAACTCCACACCCTGCACTAAATCCATTAATGTATTCCTCTTACTCCATCGATTGTGTAAATCTAAGCACTAATCCCTTGTTCCGACCGACCTTCTGCCTTCGTCGAAGTACTCTGCCGATACCGACGATCCAAATCCATAGGAAGTGTGAATCGCCCTCCCTCTACGGCGTCCCCTTGCGCTGCATCCTTCTAGTTGGAAATGTCAAAGCGGAATGCGAAGTTCCTTGGTTTAAGAAACTAAAAAAATAAACTTGGTAGCTGAATTAGAAAGTGGTGGTCTAAAACTCTCTTATGAATGTCAAATTATATCTAAAGCTATTCTCGACTTCGTAGCATGTTATATGGCGTGGTTAGTATGATGTTGTATGTTCTTTTTAGCGACATTACAACTTTGGTTTAACTGAAAACGATTATGGGAAGCTGGTTTTGGAAGGAAACTCTTGAACTGTGTTTGTCGATATTCTCATAAGTCTAATGCCATATAGGCATAAACTGATTCCCTTGCTTGTTGAAATTTGGCAGCTTAATTGAAGCAACAATCATATCAGCCAGGTTCTACATGATGAGGTGGCAAGTGGGTAAAGGAGAAAGAAAATAATGATAACGATACCAAATTAGAGGATCACAGTCGCAACAGCAGCAACCTGCAAGCTTCTCATTCTTCATAGGTTGTACTTGTGCCTTGGCTGCAAACCTACAGAACTGAACAAGTGTAACAATGAATTTATTTTCATGAAATCTATATCTTGCTCTTGTATAATGTACATTTTGGCTTTAGAAAGCTTTAAGAACCATAAGGAAGCATGAAACCTCACTCTGCAATGTAAAGATTTAAGAGTGAGCACAACATAAGTATTTATTTAACTCTTGTTAAAATAGAGAAATTAAAAAGGGAATGCTTTGTTTTGTGCCCTTTTCATATCCTTAAAATAGAGCCTGGAAATTAGATCTTGTATACGTGGGGTATTTGTTGATACTTGCTACTACAATAGGGGGTTTTGATCTCAATACTGTCAGGGTAGTCATAGATGATATTTTCTTTTTCTTCGATTTGTTCTCTCATCTGACTAACATGTTTGGTTTCCAAAGGATAATCTATATAGAAAAAGCAACTGATACCATTTCAAACCAATTGTTGTGCTCTACAATCTGAATTAGTATCATGCCAAGGTTTTCAGTTTCGGCTTTTTTCTCAAACGGTATATAATTCAGGATGTTCTGAATAAATTCTATGATCTCTATT